ATGTTTAACAATTATATCTAATTTAAATAATAATTAAGTGTATATTCTAGAGGCTCACTAGTCTTTAAGTAAAATGCAAACTACACATATATTATATCTAAAGATTTTTGATGTATTCCAACTGGGAAAATATTGTATGTTCTGGCAGCTGTTGTTGAGATCAAGTTGCTGAGCGCTTCATTGCCTGGAAGCCATGTGGAGTTCTGCTGCAAATGATTACATCATTGATGTGCACACTGAGAATGGATGGACCTGTGTGCTGTGGGATTCTGGCTGGAAGACTTGGCTTCTTGATTGCATTCTGTTGGGGGTGGTTCAAGTTGCCCTGCTGATAATTTTCTGTCATAGCATCTCAGGATGGACTTCCTTGAGCACGACTTTCGTGTCCTGAAGTCTGAGTGGGTTGAGAGAGGAGGAGTGCGGTACCGTGTTGCCACATACAGATGTGGCTGGCAATTCTGGCCCCTTGGCCAAAAAAAGTTTGGCTTGTGGATTGTCTTTAGTTGGGAGCTGCTAGACTTCTAGTTTACTCTGCTGTCTCTCCATTAGCCAAGGTTGAGAAAGAGAAAGCTGGAGCAGCTGCTGTGGGAACGTATTGGCCCAATAGCTTGCATAGTGTTCAAGCCATTCTGAGTGTATAGACAAGCCACCCAACTGGCTGCAGGGCAACAAAAACAAAAAACACATTTACATCAGCTATTCAAGGCTCTGGTAGCTGTTTAAAGCTTGGATAGCCATCTCAGGCTCAATAAGTCATTTGTGCTGCTGTAAATGCCTCAGACCAGATTAGCCATCACAGGCTCAAATAACTCTAAACCTTTTTGTTGGTCATCTCAGGCCAGAACAGCCATAAGGCACACTAAATGGCTAAAGTTTAATAGTCCATCAAAGGAAGTTGAGATTACCAGGGAAACTCAGAGACCAATGTTTTTGCCTTTTTAATGACATTGTCAGATGTCTTGGTACAAACCTGGTTTGCCCATTAATTTAATATGGTTCACCCATTGGTGGCTGCACATACATTTCAAGTTCAGCCTTTAATGCAGAAATTTTGGGTGCTTGATGTGTACATAGTGTCATGCCTGTACCTTAAACTTGTGCCATGAACATTGCCACTGAAAAATGTTTGTTGCTGCTTTTTATTCTAGCCAAATGAGGCTCATTTACATCGCCATGAAAGGCCCATTTCTTTAGCTAACAGAAGCTTCCAGTCCTGATTGCCTGAGCACACCACAGGCTGTCTGTGGCATTGTCTTTTGTGTGTGCCCATACTGATGACCAAAGAGAAATCATCTTATTGTTGCAGCTGCCACTCTCACCAGCTTCTGTGCCCGCCTACTTGTGCTTCACTCCTGTCAGCAATGCCTGGCCAATGGCAGCTTGAAGACTTGAAGTCTGAGGTCACCTCAATGGTGCAACTTCTTGGAAGAAGAGGGGAGCATTGTAGTAACATGGCCACTTCCTTGATGAAGCAGCTGGAGCAGAAGATGAAGGCTTCCAACCTTACTACTTCTGAAGTCTTGCAGCTGTCCCAGCACTTGGAAGAGTCTGGCTTGCCTCAAGGGTGCAGAGATGATTTGCTTGCCCAATGTGACCAGCTGGCCATGCAAGGCTCACACCAGTCTGCTGTGAAGTTGTCCCAACAGCAGCAGTCCTGTGACAACTTGACCAATTACCTCACTGCTGGTGATTGGAAGGCTCTCAAGCAGCTGCACCAGCTGCAAGAGGGCGCAGGCAAGTTGGCAGTTGGCAGCGCAGGCGGGTGGCAGTTGGCAGAGCAGAAGGACGGGCAAAGGCAAAGTTTGGAGCTAGTTGCTAGGCAAGTTCAAGTTCAGAAAGCAACGTTTGACACTATGGGCTGCCGGCCGCGGGCCCGATCCGTCCTTCACTGCCACATGGTGTTTAAGCCCTGCGAAGGGGTCCCTTGACCAGAGCCGTGCAGCACGAAAGCTAGCTGCACCAGCTGCAAGAGGACGCAGGCAAGTTGGCAGTTGGCAGTGCAGGAGGACAGGTAAAAGCAAGCTAGTTTCTAGCCATTCAGAAAGCAACGTTTGGCAGTCTGGGCTGCCGGCCGCGGGCCCGCGCCGTCCTTCATTGCCATGGTGTTTAAGCCCTGCGACAGGGTCCCTTGACCGGAGCCGTGCAGCACGAAAGCCAGCTGCAAGAGGACGCAGGCAAGTTGGCCGTTGGCAGTGCAGGCAAAGGCAAGGTTTGGAGGTAGTTGCTAGGCAGTTCAGAAAGCAACGTTTGGCACTATGGGCTGCCGGCCGCTGGCCCGATCCGTCCTTCACTGCCATGGTGTTTAAGCCCTGCGAGGGGGTACAATACGCAGGAGAAGTCTGAAGAACAGCCCCCAGGTGCTGGAGATGCCTTCAAGCTTTGCGAGGAGTGCAAGCAGACCAAAACAGCCAGGATTGCCAGGAGAGGTTAAAATGGACTTATAAACGATTTATACGCCCCAAGGACTTATAAACGAATTTGGCCTTATACCACCAATGGTGTCAGGACATGACAGGTGTCAGTGCAGCACAAGCAAGACTGCCAACAACGTTCGAGAAGCAGTGGCACTGCCACCAGATTCCGCTGCACCTTGGAATGCTGCATGCTTGAGCCTGCAAACCACGTTGGAGAAGCAGTGGCGCTGCCACCAGATTCTGCTGCACCATGGAATGCTGCATGCTTGAGCCTGCAAAGATTGGAGAAGCAGCGGCAATACAACCAGGACACAGCAGAGAGACGTTTACGTGGATCGCCTTCGTCGAGGAAGAAAGCAAAGGCTTTTGGTGGCGGAGCGCCCAGGAAAGTCGTCCTGAAGGAAGTTTTCATGGGAAAATGCCCGCTCTGCTTGATGCTGCGGAAGGCCAATTCGCGCGCGATGCGCGCGGGAATACCGAACTTCCTCAGCCTGAGAACTACGGCGAGAATATCTTCTTCAACTTGACGAGGTCACTCACACCTGAGGAGAGGGAGAAGGTCCGTGAGGCGCTTGGAGCGATTGGCAGAGAGACAGATGAGTCTTGAAGCCCAATTGATCCATGAGAAGAAAGGAAAGAGGGCAAGAGATCTTGGTTTCGCTTCGGTGGTTTTGACTTCCTGTGACATGGAGCAGCATGACGTGCGTGGACAGGCCCACTTGGATTGCCGCCGAGGGCCAGGGCTCGAGTTGCTTTGGGGGTATCTTCAAACTCTGAATTTGAACATGGGCTTCATGGGCTTGTTTAGATGCTACAAACCCTCACTGCTACCCTCAGCGGCGTGCCCACATTTACACCTGCTTGGCCGCAGATGGGCCGCGATCACTGAGTACCTTGATTTCAGAAGAACCGCATCAACCGCTATATCATTACCTGGGCTGGCGCGGTCAAGCCAAGGACTACATGAAACTGTTCCTGCAGAAGGCCCTGGATCAATGCCTACCAAGTGCCAGAGTGCAGAACGCAAAGCAGCGCAATCCCAGCCACAACGTTCATGGGGTTGCCGAGATGCTGTGGAATGGTCCTGGTACACGCTGTGGTACCAGACGCTGAGATTTGCATGGCAGTGCTGACATGGGCCACAAAGCGTAGCCTGTGCCCATGGCCTTGCAGAAAGCAGGCCCAACCCTGTGCATGTCTCGCCTGAGAGGGCGGGTGCAGAATCACCACGCGCAAAGTGTCATAGTTGGGATTCAGCCACCACAACTCATGTCCACGGCATCCGTTATTGACTCTGCGCAGCTTATGGCTAACAAAGGTCACTGCTGGACGGCGACCGCATTTGTCTTGGATTCCGTGCCGCTCTAGTAAAATACAATACTTGATCCCCTGGTTGCCAGAAGATTTAGAAGCTTATGTATTGGCGTTTAAGATTCAGATTGTCGCTGTTTGGGTTTAAATCGGAAAATAGTCAACTCAAAAGCCCATCAAGAGGGCGGAACTTACTGAAAAATGCGGATTGCGTTTGCCAACCATTTTTTCCGCACTTTCCCAACTTCAGCCCTGTCGACGACTGAACTGCCCGGTTTTGGAGGCAGCCTTTTTCTGCTCCTTTGCGCCGCTGAGCACGATCACGTTCATGGCGGATCACTCGGGGCGCGATGATTTGAAACCCGGCAATTTTTCTGGCGTTATGACTTTACCTGAAACATTGAACATCCCAAAAACGTTTTTCTCATCAATTTTCCGTGCGTAAACGTTCAACCTGCATATTTGTATAGAATATGTTCTTTCCATGTTGTCTTGCGTTCACACGTCGAGATTGCCGGTTCACAGGTCGAGATAGTCGGCTCAAACGTCCGACAAAGTCTTCACACATAACATAAATGTGTTTTCAGTCAATGGATTGATAAGAACGGCCAAATTTGCACTGCCAAAATGCAGCGAGCTAGCATATGGAGTTTTGAGTTTCCACAAGCGCATGCGTGTGTTGTAGTTCAGCGTCGCTAACTTCACATATTCGCTGCACATAGTTTTTCCCGATTGTATCAGCTGCCAGGACCTTATTTTTTCCCGCATGACATTTTGCCCTAAAATGAAACCTCCTCCTGCTCTTTGTTGATGTTGCAGCCTACAAGTGCATACCCTCAGCGTCAGTTACCCCTACAAAAGAACATGCAGAGAATTGGAGCTACAACTTAGATTGGCGTCAGCAGAGTTAGGGAAATCCATTCATTGCGGACGCATGTTTTAAATGGTTTCTCTCGTCTAGTTTAGTCAAACAAGTCGGTGGTTTTCGATTCTTCGTTTCAGGAAGCACCCCGAACTCTTCCACTCTTTCTTGGAGCGCGCAGCCCAGGCATGTGGGTAGGAAAACAGCAGCGCCAGCCCGGCAGTAAGGGATGGGCCTGAGCAGGCACCCCATGACTTGATTAGGGGTTGGAGGCAGGAATCACTTGTGCCTGTTCAGTAATCACAGACTGCTGGCCATGTCCGGGTTCACCTCATGAGTCACAGACCCTTCAGCATCAACAGCCACAGTTGAGGCCCCACCGTGCTGATGTCTTCCAACCAGCTGAGACCGTAGCCGTCAATGGTTCAGTTCAGATGTCATTCTGAAGGCCCATTGATTTTTTTAAAGTTCTCTGGCTGATCTGCACCCGACCCGTGAGTTCCATGCCACCTGACCGGTTGAGTGTCGAGGTCATTTGGCCGCAAGGGATGGGGCTTGGCTGCGCGCTGATGACCATATGACAGGGTGGTTGACTAACATGATGGGTGATTTACAAATCAGACATTTTAGCCAGCTTGGACTGGTCGGTGGATAAGGGGGCGCATCTTTCCTGGAAGGCAGCTTTTGCCCACAATCAAGTGCATTAGGGATGCTCGGACTGCGTAGTTAGTTCTAATTCTAGCCATTCGTTCTTCTTGATGCTTCATTTCTGTTCATGTTTCCTTCTTGGCAAGCTCTTTCTAGGCTCCAGGCCATTCAGGCGGCTTACCCTTAACCTGCCCTTGGATGCCAGTCAGGACAGTTAACACATGTCCTGTAGCGCAGTTCTTGCTCGATCTGTTCTCCCACACAGGCATCCACGGAAGCGGAAGCGTGCAGCTCAGAGGAAAGCAGCTTCAGGCGGCTGGACAGACATGTCGGATACATCTTAAGCCGAACCGTAAATCAACTATCAAGATGGCTTCAGGTTTGCCGAAAATTCTGTTTACCTTTCCAAAATCCAAACTAAGTTGAGGATCCCAATGGATGTGGAGGTCCCCAAAGGCAGCGCCACCCTTCTGCCGCCCAGGCACCGCAAAAGCGCCAAGACGAAGGCAAGCGTCACTTCGCCTGAACCGAGCGGAAGCGAGTGGGCATGGTATCGAGGCAAGTCTGCCTTAGCCATTTGCGCCTTGGCACAGACAGCTTTTGCGGAAAGTTTTTTTACGGCCATTCCGCGCCTGTGTTGATCATGGGCATGGTTTTGATATTGGCAGTGAAGATGTCGATACGGTCTTGTTTGCTAGCGCCTGCATCAGTGTGTTTTGGTGGTTTATTATATGCAGGAGCCCTGTGAACTTTTAAGTTCCCAAATCATGAGTTTTCTCAAAGCAAATTCTGACGATCTCTGATGTGTAAAGCGCAACCAAAACCTAACATTCAAGATGCGAATCTTTGCACTTTGACACGACTGGAATGCGGTGTGCCATGGTGTCGTAGTGAGATCCGCCCTTGTGTTGTGAGATCATGGAAATCGATGTGAAGGCAGTGCACAGTTGTGAGTAAAGCGGGCGCTCGCTCGACCCACAAATGCATTTCGTAGATGATGGAAGGTTTGCACAGCTACACTTCGCATGTTTGAACATGGGTTGAATGAGCAAGACTGATTTAGAGTGAATGTAGCGACTTTAATGGTGATCAGGGCTCCGTCACCAAGATTCACCATGTCGCATTGGTCGCATTGCCATCGAGGCACACTTTGCGCCTTTGCGCCGCTTTTGGGGCTAATGGCAGCCGTGGCCTGGCTCCGGGATCAGATCTTCCAGGATGGTGTGACGCTTCCAGCCATGGTACAAGTTCGATTTAAGTTCCCCGTGGCACCCATGTTTGGCATTGATATGTACTGATGTATGCATTATATGTTATATGTATTGCTTGGTTCCCCCCATTGGCCACATTCCAGGACAGTTTCCAGACGAAGCAGGCTTCCAAGAAATTGCGGATCCTTGTGACTGGTGGCAAAATATCAAAGGCTTCGGCGGTGGCTCGAGCGGTGGGCCGCGCAGGGCACACAGTTTTCACTGCAGAGGTCTTGCCGTACAGGCAGTTTACACTGGGTCACCGGGGTAGCAGTGGAAGCCTTTGGGGCTGCAGCGCATGGAAGCAACAAACGTTCAGCGCTCTTCCGCAGGGGGATCGTTAAGCCTCCAGTCCATAGCAACGAGATCTCATGCTTGGTCATGCTGACAAAGCGCATGGCAACAAAAGAATATTCATGTAAATGGCACCCCCGCACCACTGAAATGACAATCTGCCACCCCATACCTAACAATACCCTTTCATGATGTAGCTGCGATATTTGCAAAGCATCTGTCAAGAATAAAATCCGCCCACACCGCCTCGGCGGTGAAGCCATTTGTTTAGTGAGCAATCTGGCGGAGAAAGTATATTATAAAGATAGCTAGCTAATGCTAGCTATCTTTTCAGCTGTGCTTGGGGGGGCATTTTTCGACTTCGGGTGCAGAACAGAATGCAGCCCGGACAGGTATTGCCATACGCGCTTCTGCAGATATGTTTCCAAGCACTACACCCTTCCAAGGCCAACGGTGCAACCCAAGGACGGTTGCAACCCAACGACGGTTGCAACCCAACGGTACGAGTTCCAACCCGGCTTTGGAATTCGCAAGGGTTGGGTCGTCCAAGTCCGAGACCTGGTGTTAAGGGCCCCCACCCCGCCCACCAAAATGAATCAAAATGATGCATTTCTTTATGTTTTTTTTTGGTGGTCCCACACTCAAATTAGCTGATTTCACTTGGGCATCCTGGAGGAGTGGCTGGAGACCATTCAGGCCATTGTCGCAGAGCAACAAATCGACCTCATCATACCCTGCACTGCACCGGTGGAAAGTTCTGCCTACTCCCACCTCTGGAAGAGCACCTCGACGGCAGACAGAATTTCCATGGAATCCTTCTTTTTCCAAGGTTTTTTGTTGCTTGTTCGATTTTTTGGGTCTTGATAATTTTGCACAGTCTAAATTTGCATTTTGGGGTTTTGCAACGGCTCTCAAAGGGAGGGCTACGGCTACACTTGAACATGATCCACTGTTTTTAACCAAGTGTAGCGCAAGCGTAGCTGATTTTGAGTGCGCGTTGTAGGCCTTCCAGCCAATGTCCGAGTCTTTGCTTTGGACGGTACCACCTGCGATAAGCTTGACAACAAATACATATTCAACCAGGACGGGGCCTCAGGAGTCGGACAATGTCGCACATGGTCAGGGCGTGGCCCAATGTGACCAAAAGTAACCCAAGAGAAGCCCAAGGTTTTCATATGTTTTTCCCGAGAGCGTTTGCGCGTAGAGTTCTTCTAAAAGTGGGGGTCTGCTTCACATCTTCACATCTTCATATCTTCACATCTTCTCATCTTCACATCTTCACATCCTTACATCTTCACATCTTCACATCTTCATATCTTCACATCTTCTCATCTTCACATCTTCACATCCTTACATCTTCACATCTTCACATCTTCATATCTTCACATCTTCTCATCTTCACATCTTCACATCCTTACATCTTCACATCTTCACATCTTCATATCTTCACATCTTCTCATCTTCACATCTTCACATCCTTACATCTTCACATCTTCACATCTTCATATCCTCACATCTTCTCATCTTCACAGCCTCACATCTTATCACATCTTCACATCTTTTCATCTTCACATCTTCACATCTTCACATCCTTACATCTTCACATCTTCTCTCACATCTTCTCTCACATCTTCACATCTTCACATCTTCACATCTTCTCTCACATCTTCTCATCTTCATATCCTCACATCTTCTCATCTTCGCATCTTCACATCTTCACATCTTCATATCTTCACATCTTCACATCTTCATATCCTCACATCTTCACATCTTCTCATCTTCACATCTTCACATCTTCACATTCACACATTCACACCTTCACACATGCACATCTTCACATCGTCTCTTCTTCACTCTCTCTCTCTCTCTTCTTCTCCTTCTCTCTCCTCTCTCTCTCTCTCTCTGTCTGTCTCTGTCTCTCTCTGGCTGGCTTCGCACGAAATGAGGCTCGAGTGTCAAAAACTAAGTTTTTTGGCGATTTCAGGGTGTCCAGAGCAACACTTTCGCAAAAGCATCTGTGTGTAAATGTGTCTGTGTGTAAAAGCGTCTGTGTGTAAAAGCGTCTGTGTGTAAAAGCGTCTGTGTGCAAAAGCGTCTGTGTGTAAAAAGCATCTGTTTGTAAAAGCGTCTGTGTGTAAAAGCGTCTGTGTGTGAAAGCGTTTCTGTGTAAAAGCGTCTGTGTGTGTAAAAGCGTCTGTGTGCAAAAGCGTCTGTGTGTGTGTGTGCAATGAAAAAAACAAAGAAGAAGGATGCAGTCACAAATGTCGACTTAGCTGCATCACTGCTGGAAGGATTAGACAAGGATGAAGCACAAGAGTTTAGCCAGCAGGGCCTGCTGCAGAGTTTGCAGCAGAGCCTGCAGCAGAGCCTGCAGCAGAACCTGCAGCAGAACTTGCAGCAGTGGCTGAACCAGCAGGGAGGAGGCGTCATGTGGCACATGTGTCTCCAAGAGAGCACTTCACACCTGCAATCCTTCAGAGATTGGCGCCCCCAACAATGACATTTGGCTTGGATCAAAAGGCTCACCGCCTCACAGCTAAATTCAGGGTCAAGTGTCAAGACAATGTGTGGGCTGCTTATGGAGAGGTGGATCTCGCTCCAGAGCGTTTCAATCGATGCCCTGGCAACAGGCACTAAGGGACTTGCATCAAGAAGCTTGGGAGCGCTGGGAGTTGGCGAAAAATCAGCCTGGTTTTGAACTTGACCCGAATCTTGCACAGCAACCTGGTCATGTGTCAAACAGCATGCTTGAGCTGCTGAAAGGAGTCATTGACAGCATGCCTCCTCCCACCAAGTAGGACACTAGTCACACATGTTTCTCTGTCTCGTACAAGTGTCCACGCGCTCAAAATGTCCGAAGCCTGTCTGATTGCAGAAGACTTTAAGTCAAATGTCTTGTGTTGGATTTGGTTTGACTCAGTTTCATGCCTGTAGCTATTTTATGTCATCTCCTTGTGAAAATTCTTGAGCTGCTGATCAAGGCAAAGTAACTAAATCATAGCATAAGTTCTAAGTTCAAATCAAGTAGAATAAAGTTTCTTTGACAAACACAAATTGACAAATGTCACAAACAAGGGCGGAGGTACCTATGATTCTGATTGTTGAAAAATCATTCCGCTTCTTGCACCATGGGGAAGTCTGTTGCCGAAAGGCGCTGGCAGCGGACTGTGCCGCGAAATGTGATGTGGCCAGCTACCTTCCTTCCATTTGTCTCTGGTTTTGGTTTTACACCTCCACAGCAAAAGACCAAGCGTGAAAGAAAGAAGTCGAAGCAAAACAAGAAGGTTGCTGCTACGGAGACACATGTCCATGTTGATGGCAATGAGGCATCAACTGTCACTGCTGACGCAACAAGTGTAACCGCAAACCATGAGGCAACAAGTGTCAATGCAGCAGCTGAAGCTGGCACTGATTTTGCAAATGACCCAATTGTGGACAAGTTTTCTAAAGCTACTGCGTTTGGCTATGAAGATGCCTGGCCCTACTCTTCCTTCACAAGGCCAGGGGTTAGTAATTAAGCATGTTCTTTAATCATAGGGAAAGAAACTAAACATTTTTGTTCACTCAGCATTTAGTACTTTGAGTTTATAAATCCCCCTGGCCGCAGGTGCTCACAAATGTCGTCCTTCCTGGTGGACACTTTTGCACAGTTCTTGGCACATGATCTTCATGTGTCTGGCGGGAATGCGAGCAAGATGTGGCCACCTCTGCTGGACTCACTGTACCCATGTCTCCGACCAGTTACAGACCTTGCGACGAAGCTGTCACTCCTGTGCCAGCGTGCTTTTGCCAACAGGCTCCAGTGTTCACATCATCTCCACCACTTTGTTGAGTACTGGTGTGGCGCAGCCAACTTTTTTCCAAGGAGATGATCAAAGCAGGCTTTGATGGAGCAGGGTTTGACATCATCCATTCACGTATGCACAGTTGTCTCGACACATGTGGGCTTCGTCTCTGGATGGATATGCTCATGAGCATATGTGAACATTGTCTTTGTTGGCTTGGACCACCTTGTTCTTCATTTGTCATATTATGTCTGGCGCAAAGTCAAAGGTATGACTGGAATCAGTGGTGGGGAAACACAGCGAGAGCATTTGTCAGGACTGGCAATAGCCACATGCAGGTAGCAGCCATCATGTTCCTTGTGTCATGTGCCATTGGCATCATGGTCTGCTTGGAGCAGCCGGACAACTCGTGTTTACACAAGTGTCTTACTATGAGGTCAGTGTTGTCATTTGTGAAGGCTCATTGTGTGAAGACTTACCTTGGGGCATTTGCTGGCCCCACATGCAAGCCATTACAGATATGGACAAACAGGGCATGTTTCTTTCAACTTGCCAGGGATTGCCCTCCCAGGGAACAATTGTCTGGTGAGCAGCTGGTCACACGAAGTGAAGATGGCAAAAGTTTCACAGGGAGGAAGGACCTGCTAGAGGAGTCAGGTACCTACACTCCACAATTTGGGTCAAGTGTCGCCCATATTTTTGCAACGGAGTTTCAACGGTTGCGTCATATGTGAATAATTTGTCTCACAGTTTGCGCCAGCTGCATGCATGCAGTGCGTTGCGTTGTGCATGGAGGACTGTCTAGTCCCCACTGGCAACTGCTGCAAATTAGATTTTCAACACATGACAAACATGTGTTTCATCTGATTGGGGTTTCTGAGAAAAACATGTGTTCTTGGCAAGTACAGTTGAACAACATTTTGGCACATTGACATGTCCAAAAAAGTGCAAATTCAAAATGACACACTTGCAGCTCCACCTGCTTGACCTGAGGTTGCATGGCAATGTTTTGAAACAAGGACCGGAGTTCTGACACATGGAACTTGTGTGTCCTTCTGACAGCTAACACAGAAATTGTGACACATGTTCTGTGCTTTGCCCTTGCCAGGAGGAAAGTATTTGAATAAAACTATATCAAAAAGATTTCAACTAATATAATAATTTTAACTATTAATGAATTAAATCTAGTTTGTATTTATTTGTCTCTATCCAGCACTCGTTTTCACCCGTCGTCTTTTGACAACTTAAGAAGATATGCTAAAAAATCAAACGTCCTAGGTAGTTTTTTTAAATAATCAGACCTCTTTTGAAAAAATATCTGAACTCATGGCATTCAACCACACATCACCTGCGAGCAACCTTTAAAAAATAAAAAGAAAATCAGGAAAAATGAAATCCAAAGATTTCAACGGGCAACACCGTAGCACATAACAAAAAATATAATAGTATATTTCATTTTATTTCTGGCTTCAATAACCCAAACCTACCTTATGGAGGACCCAGGGAACCAAGGTACTACATTACGTTTGGTGAACTGAGAAAGGTCACAGCAAGCTTCCGAAGAATGTGGTACATACCGTTGCTGAATCACATGCCTAAACAAGCGCAATGCTACTGCACCATTGGCATTCAAAGTGTTTGCGTGTAAGAGTGTTTGTGTGTAGACATCTCTTTGACTACATAGTCTGCATTCCTAAATAGTTCGCCTCACACATGACCCTCTCCACTGTTTGCACACTCCGGACTGCAGGTCTCATGGTTGGGCCAATTGTGTTTCCATATTCTTCGCTGCAGGGACATGGCTCGGCCTGTTTACAGCACGCTCGTTTGGCATGTTTACGAGTCTTCGCACATTCCTGGCTGCAGGTGTCATGTTTGGACTTGTTTACGTGAAACTTGTTTCCCGGCTGAAGGTGGCATGCCTGGCATGTTTTTGGCCTGTTTACAGGGCCGTGTCCTGACTGGAGGCGACTATGGCCTGTTTAGCCGCGTTTGCAAAAAGCGTCTGTATGTAAAAGTCTTTCTGTGCAAAAGCGTCTGTGTGTAAACGCGTCTGTGTGTAAAAGGGTCTGTGCGTAAAAGGGTCTGTGCGCAAAAGGGTCCGTGTGTAAAAAGTTGTTGTGTGCAAAAGTGTGTGTGTGTGTAAATGTGATCGTGTGTAAAAGCATTTGTGTGTAAAAGCATCTGTGTGTAAAAGCGTCCGTGTGTAAAAGTATTTGTGTGTAAAAGCGTTCGTGTGTAAAAGTCTCTGTGTGTAAAAGTGTCTGTGTGTGAAAGTGTTAGTGTGTAAAAGCGTGTGTAGGTAAAAGCGTCTGTATGTAAAAGTGTTTGTGTGTAAAACTGTCTGTGTGTGAAAGCGTCTGTGTGTAAAGGTGTTTGTGTGTAAAAGTGACTGTGTGCAAAAGCATTCGTATCTACAAGCGTTTGTGTGAAAAGGCGCTTCCATGTCTGAGTGTCTGCGTGTAAAAGTGTGTCACGGTTAATCGCCGCTTGTTCGCTGATGCACTTCTATGTGCGAGAGCTCCTGCGTGTCAAAAGAGTGGTCCGGTGCAACAGCGCTCGCACGTGTCTGTGTGCCTGTGCACGTGGTACATCTTCTCCTCTTACATCTTCTCTTCTAACATCTTCTCATTTTCCCCTCTTACATCTTCTCCTCTTATATCTTCTACTCTTACATTTGCTCTTCTTACTTCTTCTCCTGTTCCTATCTTACATCTTTTCCTTTTACATCTTCTCATCTTACATCTTCTCATCTTTCTCAGCAAAAATTGTAACTCTATCGAACATCTGAGTATATATGATCCTCTTCGCTCTCGGGCCATCCGTCGTCTAGTCATACGTCGCTAACGGCGGCAGGGATGCGACTGACGCTTGCAGCGTTGCAGTCGATGTGGTTTTTGTGTGCCATACCTGGTTACCTAGCAGCTAGCAAATGTTTAGTAGTCATGGTGGGCCTTTCCAGACAGTATTTGGTTGAAGTTTGTAGTCACTTTCAATGTGATTCTCGGTTGGATTTGCAACCTTCCTGCATGGTGACCGTTGCGTTCTGATTTCCAGGTGCTGGCGAAGGCGAGCTTGCCCTGCCCAGAAACGGCGCAGATGACCTGCCTGGCGGACGCTGTGCAATTCTTCAAAGACCGGGAGACTAAGCCAGACGGTCACCCAGCAACGAAGAACACCCAGCAGTGGTTTAAAAGTTGCCTTTTTTCAAAACCCAAAAAGGTCCTTTCTTCGTAATGAAAAGTGTGCTTGAAGCCGCCAGTGTCCAAACAGAAGACATCTTCATGTATTCATACCGTTGCCTGCTTGCTGAATCAGGAAAGAATTTCCAGAGCGTTCGTAATTCTACAGGATGCGGTTGATTGCAAGCCAAGGTAAGAAGTTCATTGTGAAGCCTGCAGTTTACGACCCCAAAGCGAACCTGCCTGCGCTTGCCAACAGCCAATCCAACAGTCAATTGGGATGACTTAATTTGACTTGCGACACCTGAATTCTCAACCCAACAGCAACGCAAGTCCATTTGACAGGCTCGCTCGGAGATCCTGTTCCTGCCCATCCAGGAACAAAGTTTTGTTGGGTCAAGACGCGGAGGGAAGGGATTGTGTGAATTAATTTCTTAAGACGTCTTGGCATTTGAGTGAAAGCTTAGTTAGTGTGTGCATGGGCCTCTTTAACGAGGCTTCCTGTTTGACCATGCCCATGTCATCAGAACTATATGCAAAACAGTTCAGAACTAAATATAGTGAAAACAGCTTTCACCATTCAGTCTAAAGCATACACTGTGTGGAGCGCATTTGGCCTGATTGGTTTCACGGTTGGGCTTTCATAACTTTACGCGCCAACTGCATGTCAGAGCCTGTGTCGATGAATGAGTGCATTGCATTGGCGTGTACGGATCGTGCGGCGTGCCCCGCGCATGTCGAGCCATCCCTGATCCCTGGTTCCTATTGTCCCTTCAGAAGGGACCTTTAGGTAATAATTTGGGAAAGTTTTACTGGCACACTAAAGGTACACTAAAGGTACACTGCGAGAGGTGCGTCGCCCCTTCCATCCTCTCCACCCCCTGTCATGCAGGCCCAAGACATCACACTGCCACAAGAAAAACACCCCAGCCATCGGCCCTCCCACACCAGGGTCACCAGGAACCACGCAGCACTACGCAAACAAATATAGCGTGTGTGGCGCCACCCTCAGCTCTTGCATGTCTATGTTCATGTGTCCCTGTGGAGGTACGACAGCCGTCCTACAAGAGGGAATTTGTGGATTGCTTGATGTGGCCCATCTTGGTTTCAATTTAGGTTAGTGCAACGGGTGCGGCTGTCCAGGTATGTTAGCATTTACCGCTGGGCTACTGGGCGTGACTGTATGCATGCGGAGGCCTCTTAGCTGAAACATCTTCTCGCCCAATTCCTGTTCTTGCCACAAAAGTCCGCCCGCACCGCTTCGGCAGTGAAGGCGTGTGCTTAGTGTGCAATCTGACGGAGAAGATCGTTTATTTCAGCTCTGCGGGGGGTCCCCTTTTTTTCAACTTGCTCATTCTCCGCAACGCAAAAAAGTGTAAATGGGGTGAGTACCTCCGTGTCACTTTTTGGTGATTTTGGATGTTGTTTGTCCCTTTTTGTGCAGTTCGGTATGTTCAAAACCCTGTAAATTACAGTGTTTTTGCATTTTGACATGTAAAATTTTCATAAGGAGAAAGCAAGAAAACACCGCATATAGTGGCAGCTTTAAAGTTAGGGTTGAAGAAAATAGGGTTTCATGCGATTCTTAACCTTAAAGCATCACCTTCACGAAGCAATTCCACTGCAATCTCCAATCGCTGCCTTGCAAATCCCACTACAACTGCGTCAACCAAGACTGCAATCACAACATGAAAGCAGCTATTCCCATGCAAACCGCAAGCCTGGAGCACCAAACACAATGGCATAGCGCATTCAATCTTTCAAAGATCACCTCCGCGCAGCGCTGACAATGGGGACCACTCGAGCGCCAAACGAAGTGGAGCCGCACCCGTCGCACAAACAACTTTGGAGGAGCCTTGAACTTAGACAACTTACAAGTTCATCCTAACATATGTTATAGCCTTCGTAACCTAGGTTATAACATCCATAAGTTCATCGTAACTTCTTGAAAAATGGTTACTTATAACATAGTTACGGAACTTAGATGCAGAAGGGTTAAAAGTAAAAGTTACAAAGAACTTACGAAGAACTTAGGGAAGTTACGTTTTTTCTTTTAAAGAAGATTTGAAGAATGGGAAAAAAACAAGAGAAAAACACATGTTTTGTGAAGATTTTGGTTCAAGAAGAAGTGGTAGCCTTGGAGAAGCAGTTAGAGGCATCCCAACGCTTTTTGGGCGGGGTTCGTTCGTTGGCGTCCTACGAGGACATCCAGCAAAAGCAACTAAGGGGGCTTCTGATTGCCTTGGGGAAATCTAAGGATCTGAGTACGTCTCAGGCTGCTTCTTTTGTAGAAGCGATTGGTTCCAGGCTGTGGTCAGAAGCAGCGGTGGAAGAACTGCAGCGACAGGTTGCTGCAAAGACGTCGCAAGTCGAGGTCGACAGTGGGCGCGGACGAATGCAAGACTTTAGTCAGATTATTCACTTCCTCACACAGGATCTGGCGACCATGATATTGGAAGGAAAAGCCCCCGCCGACACTGTCTTGCGAGCCTTGTGTTTGCACGCTGGCCGGATGTCACTACGTGTGCCATCGGAACAAACTATTGCAACCTTTGTGACACTGGCGAATTGGCAGCTATTTTGTCATGGAATGACGGAAAAAGGAGAAATATATGTTGTTGCAGCGGCAGAAGCAATTTGTGCGAAAATGTTTGGCTGCTTTGAACGATGTGACCAATCCACTGTCTGCATCGCCACTGGATTTTGGACAGCTACCTGCGCATCTTCGTCAAGCTGCCTTTGGAGAGAGTTTGCCAGTGAATATGGCAGAGAGCGGTGTGGCCATGATGCAGGCAGCAAGGACGATGCCTATGCGGGGGACTAACCGCGCATTGGGTTCAGCGCTGTCTACGGGACAGCCAAAGGAAGATCCCACGGCTGAGTGGACTACGCGTGCAATCACAGCGGCAGTGCAGGGAGTTGTGGCTGCGAGCCATTCATTGTTGGGGGGTGCTGGAGTGGCAGCTACGGCTGCGAATGCGACGCACGTGGTTCCAAGTATGCTTGTGGAGGCACGCCCTCCAGAAATGTTGGCTTTGACCAATGCGCCGCACGCAGAGATGGAAGCGAAGGAGTCGACGCCGCATGGGAATACGTCTACGGGACGTATGGCAGTGGCTCAGAGTGCTCCACCGCAAGACGGTGTGGACGTGGAGCATAATCTAGGAGACGTTGAAGCGCAATTGGCTGCTTTATAAGGGATGTGGCACCAAAGGCGAAGGCGAAGAGCAAAGCTAAGAGCTTCTGTAAGAGGCCGGCAACAAAAGCGAGTCTGAAGCGTCCTGCAGCTGCAGTGGCACCTATGGGGTGTTCGGCACCCAAGGGTTCCGCAGCTGGTGAGCGTAAAAAGCACGGCAAGACATCTACGGGATGTCGTATCGGCGCAAAAGGAACGGCAAAGCCTAAGGGCAAGACTGAGGCTACGGCCACATCTTCGCGTGAGGCCAGGCGTCGAGCCATTTTGGCAGTGGTGCCCAAGAAGGTGCAGCTGCAGTTTAAGAACGGCTGCTCCAAGTGCAGGTACACAAACTGTACCGTTTCCTGCTGGCGATCACGCGGCTTCGTCGCAACGTAGGTTATCCATTGTACAGAAAACGACCCAGGGATTATATCATCTTGAGTTAAAAAAATATGCTGCTTGTACGTGTTGGTTTTTTGGCAGGTTCAAGAACATGTTGCGGGTATATGGATTTCATGTGGAAGATACAATGTGCAATAAAGTTCATACATGACCAATCTGTGCGGCACAGATTCGAGGAGAAAATGCATGGCAGCATGACTTCGGTTAAAAAGGGATTGGTGGCTCGAGCTTCTAGGGCATCTCCCCTTTTTTTCCCCTTGGGTTGCAGCCGTGGTTGGGGAGGTCTGGTTCTATGTGCATGGGGCGCAAAATATTCGTATGTGTAAGTTGCTTCACTCGTGCCACTGGTATATATATATATATATGTTGTTTTTTTGGAAGTTGTTTCCCTCTGTCACCCTGAAGGACGGCATGGCGGGCGAGAAGGAGAAGGACGCGGAGTCGTATTCCTATATGTGACAGAGGATGAGGAGGAGATGAATGAGCCCGCTGCTGAACCGGCACCGCCACGCGCGGAGGCCACAGCGCTACGGACGGACTCTACAGCGCCACGTGCGCGACCAGGTCCTCCAGGGTGCGCGGCCAAGTCTGCAGCGACACCTGGTAGGCGTGCAGGTCGGAGCCAGGACTCGAGTAGCGATAGAGAACGTGGTCGCCGGAGGCCTCCTTCGCCGGCAAGTCCGGTTCGCGTGGACAGGTCGCCGAGACGTAGCGTTGCACCTGCAAGACCCACGAGGTCTGTGCCGCCGGCTCGGTTGGATGAGCCCCTGCCAGACACGGCGAGCAGGCGGCCACCAGCTGGAGAAAGTGGGGGTGTTCGTGGCAAAGGAAAGGGCTCCAGCGGCTATGGCAGGCGCTATCAATCGTGCCCGCATTGCTGGCATGACGTCGCCGTGACCCCACGCGGGTCTGGGTTGTCGCAGCACATGTGGACAGTGCATTGCATGGCAACTCTATTCAATATTCCCAAGGGGACATATGCACAATGGCGCGCCCAGGAAATCAAAGACCGTCGCGAAACGGAGTGGGAGGCTCCTGAAGCAGTGTGTCCGGCTCGGAGTGCAGCCCATCGTGACAGGTTGGAAGATTTGCAGAGAGAAGAGGAACTGATGCAGGACGAGGGCGAGGACGACGTTCGCAAGTCGGACGACACGAAGAACAAGAAGAAGAAGAAGAAGAAGAAGAAGAAGAAGAAGAAGAAGAAGAAGAAGCGCCGTCGACGTCATCACGGGTCGGATCCTTCCCCGCATCGTTCCCGCAAGCGGGATCGTCGCCCTCCTAGCAGCGACCGCTCAGATGGGGGGGGCCACAAGGCCAAGTGGTGAAGAAAGCAAGGATATGGTGTGGGTGCAGGTGCCACGTGCATCGCTGGCCAAGTAGGTCTCTGTACCTGCGGAAGGATGACCTCGAGCACTCTGGGAAAAAAGGAAGTACGTCTGGATGGCATGGGCTGTGGGCTGAGTGTGGTATAAAGGGTTTTCGTATATAGGGCCGAGGTTTTGCTCCGCTCTTTTTTCCGCAGCTGTTTTACATGTTTGTCTCCGCAGCTGTTTAGTTCGGTTCGTTCCCACCGGCGTTTCTCCGCTGATGTCTGTTGACGTTTCCTTCTCTCTGCGGCCAAGTGCCTTGGAAGAGGTCATCCACGCGATGACGGCGACAATGCCAGCACATCCGCTTGGTGGCATTGTTTCTCACGTTCTAAAATAATCTGCTCACAGCTCTGATACGCTTCGCCCCATGTGCACGTGCGAACCGGCACTGCAGAGTACAGCTCGCAGCCATGCGCCTCCGAGTGTACGGAAGGGAGCCTCCGCACAACTTCCTCGTGCCAGCCACGGGTCAGAAGGACGCTCATCGGCAGTTCTTCTACTTGGACAGTGGTCTCGAACTTTCAAGAGAGTTGCGCGGATAGTTTGCCACGTGACCTTGCCATCCGTGGCCTTGGCGCTCTTGGCAGCCTGAAAAAAATTCTCTGTCTCCTCTTGGGAGAACTCCGCCAAGTCAGCGGTGGTACCGAGGTGTCGACGCAGAGTCTGCTCGACGTTGAGGCAGTTCCAACATTTGAATGAGCGGCCATGTTGTCGCCCTTGGGCGTTACCATAGCAAAGGCCACACATAACGCACTTAGCGTTTGCTTCTTGAGCCGTCGTTTCAGCCATGCTCAACTACAGGTGAAACTGCACGTCGCGCACACACACACACACCGAACACGCCGCTAAAACACGAGCCAAATCTGAGGGAAGACAGAGACGGAATCAACGTGGAAAACTAAGAGTTGACGTGAAAGCCCGCAGTCATGCCGTCTGAGGTCGAATCTATCCGCAGTCAACCGCAGTCAAGACTGCTGCCTATGATTATGCTAGTTTATGAACTCGCAGTCAACCGCTGTCAACGTTGCCATTAGACACAGCTATGTTTCAGTCCGCAGTCAACGGCCGCAGTCACACCGAATCCATGGCAATTTTTCCGCAGTCATCCGCAGTCACGCCGCAGTCAGTCCGCAGTCATCCAGAAAAGCAACGACACAGCAGGAGCCACTCACGAAAAGAATCGTCCTCATAGGACAGGTTTCATCGCCTCGACTTGCGAGGTCTGACGCTCTTGCCGCCAACGCTGCTGCAACTTTCGCACGAGCCACGCGGCCCTGCGACACCGAGGAATTCCCTGTGTCGATTCTCCCGCGTAGAGAGATGCCACGCCAAGGCACAGAACTTTGCGCGCAGACGCGTGCCTGTCACCAAAGCATTCCCAGCGCAGAAGATAGATCCAGTGGTCTGCACTTGGCTGCTGGACCAATTGCGCTGGAACGAGGCAGAAGCCAGGTAGCTTCGGATGCGGCGGCAGATCCAACGGCGTTGCATGCCATTCTCGGTATACCGAAGCAACGCCACCAGTCGCGACAATATAGTCGCCGATCCTGTGGCATCGCGTGGATGCACGCGTTTTCTAGCGATTCGCGAACTCCATGCCACGTAGACTGGAACGGCTCCAGCGGATGTGCTGGCATTGTCGCCGTCATCGCGTGGATGACCTCTTCCAAGGCACTTGGCCGCAGAGAGAAGGAAACGTCAACAGACATCAGCGGAGAAACGCCGGCGGGAACGAACCGAACTAAACAGCTGCGGAGACAAACATGTAAAGCAGCTGCGGAAAAAAAGAGCGGAGCAAAACCTCGGCCCTATATACGAAAACTCTTTATACCACACTCAGCCCACAGCCCATGCCATCCAGACGTACTTCCTTTTTTCCCAGAGTGCTCGAGGTCATCCTTCCGCAGCTACAGAGACCTACTTGGCCAGCGATGCACGTGGCACCTGCACCCACACCATATCCTTGCTTTCTTCACCACGGCGCTTGGCCTTGTGGCCCCCCCCATCTGAGCGGTCGCTGCTAGGAGGGCGACGATCCCGCTTGCGGGAACGATGCGGTGAAGGATCCGACCCGTGATGACGTCGACGACGCTTCTTCTTCTTCTTCTTCTTCTTCTTCTTCTTCTTCTTCTTCTTCTTCTTCTTCTTCTTCTTGTTCTTCGTGTCGTCCGACTTGCGAACGTCGTCCTCGCCCTCGTCCTGCATCAGTTCCTCTTCTCTCTGCAAATCTTCCAACCTGTCACGATGGGCTGCACTCCGAGCCGGAAACACTGCTTCAGGAGCCTCCCACTCCGTTTCGCGACGGTCTTTGATTTCCTGGGCGCGCCATTGTGCATATGTCCCCTTGGGAATATTGAATAGAGTTGCCATGCAATGCACTGTCCACATGTGCTGCGACAACCCAGACCCGCGTGGGGTCACGGCGACGTCATGCCAGCAATGCGGGCACGATTGATAGCGCCTGCCATAGCCGCTGGAGCCCTTTCCTTTGCCACGAACACCCCCACTTTCTCCAGCTGGTGGCCGCCTGCTCGCCGTGTCTGGCAGGGGCTCATCCAACCGAGCCGGCGGCACAGACCTCGTGGGTCTTGCAGGTGCAACGCTACGTCTCGGTGACCTGTCCACGCGAACCGGACTTGCCAGCGAAGGAGGCCTCCGGCGACCACGTTCTCTATCGCTACTCGAGTCCTGGCTCCGACCTGCACGCCTACCAGGTGTCGCTGCAGACTTGGCCGCGCACCCTGGAGGACCTGATCGCGCACGTGGCGCTGTAGAGTCCGTCCGTAGCGCTGTGGCCTCCGTGCGTGGCGGTGCCGGTTCAGCAGCGGGCTCATTCATCTCCTCATCCTCTGTCACATAGGAATATACGACTCCGCGTCCTTCTCCTTCTCGCCCGCCATGCCGTCCTTCAGGGTGACAGAGGGAAACAACTTCCAAAAAAACAACATATATATATATATATACCAGTGGCACGAGTGAAGCAACTTACACATACGAATATTTTGCGCCCCGTGCACATAGAACCAGACCTCCCCAACCACGGCTGCAACCCAAGGGGGAAAAAAAGGGGAGATGCCCTAGAAGCTCGAGCCACCAATCCCTTTTTAACCGAAGTCATGCTGCCATGCATTTTCTCCTCGAATCTGTGCCGCACAGATTGGTCATGTATGAACTTTATTGCACATTATATCTTCCACATGAAATCCATATACCCGCAACATGTTCTTGAAACTGCCAAAAACCCAACACGTACAAGCAGCATATTTTTTAACTCAAGATGATAATCCCTGGGTCGTTTTCTGTACAATGGATAACCTACGGTGCGACGAAGCCGCGTGATCGCCAGCAGGAAACGATACAGTTTGTGTACCTGCACTTGGAGCAGCCGTTCTTAAACTGCAGCTGCACCTTCTTGGCACCACTGCCAAAATGGCTCGACGCCTGGCCTCACGCGAAGATGTGGCCGTAGCCTCAGTCTTGCCCTTATAGGCTTTGCCGTCCTTTGGCGCTGATACGACATCCCGTAGATGTCTTGCCGTGCTTTTTACGCTCACCAGCTGCGGAACCCTTGGGTGCCGAACACCCCATAGGTGCCACTGCAGCTGCAGGACGCTTCAGACTCGCTTTTGTTGCCGGCCTCTTACAGAAGCTCTTAGCTTTGCTCTTCGCCTTCGCCTTTGGTGCCACATCCCTTATAAAGCAGCCAATTGCGCTTCAACGTCTCCTAGATTATGCTCCACGTCCACACCGTCTTGCGGTGGAGCACTCTGAGCCACTGCCATACGTCCCGTAGACGTATTCCCATGCGGCGTCGACTCCTTCGCTTCCATCTCTGCGTGCGGCGCATTGGTCAAAGCCAACATTTCTGGAGGGCGTGCCTCCACAAGCATACTTGGAACCACGTGCGTCGCATTCGCAGCCGTAGCTGCCACTCCAGCACCCCCCAACAATGAATGGCTCGCAGCCACAACTCCCTGCACTGCCGCTGTGATTGCACGCGTAGTCCACTCAGCCGTGGGATCTTCCTTTGGCTGTCCCGTAGACAGCGCTGAACCCAATGCGCGGTTAGTCCCCCGCATAGGCATCGTCCTTGCTGCCTGCATCATGGCCACACCGCTCTCTGCCATATTCACTGGCAAACTCTCTCTAAAGGCAGGTTGACGAAGATGCGCAGGTAGCTGTCCAAAATCCAGTGGCAATGCAGACAGTGGATTGGTCACATCGTCCAAAGCAGCCAAACATTTTCGCACAAATTGCTTCTGCCGCTGCAACAACATATATTTCTCCTTTTTCCGTCATTCCATGACAAAATAGCTGCCAATTCGCCAGTGTCACAAAGGTTGCAATAGTTTGTTCCGATGGCACACATAGTGACATCCGGCCAGCGTGCAAACACAAGGCTCGCAAGACAGTGTCGGCGGGGGCTTTTCCTTCCAATATCATGGTCGCCAGATTCTGTGTGAGGAAGTGAATAGTCTGACTAAAGTCTTGCATTCGTCTGCGCTCACTCTCGACCTCGACTTGCGACGTCTTTGCAGCAACCTGTCGCTGCAGTTCTTCCACCGCTGCTTCTGACCACAGCCTGGAACCAATCGCTTCTACAAAAGAAGCAGCCTGAGACGTACTCAGATCCTTAGATTTCCCCAAGGCAATCAGAAGCCTCCTTTGTTGCTTTTGCTGGATGTCCTCGTAGGACGCCAACGAACGAACCCCGCCCAAAAAGCGTTGGGATGCCTCTAACTGCTTCTCCAAGGCTACCATTTCTTCTTGAACCAAAATCTTCACAAAACATGTGTTTTTCTCTTGTTTTTTCCCATTCTTCAAATCTTCTTTTACTTTTTGCACAAAAAAACGTAACTTCCCTAAGTTCTTCGTAAGTTCTTTGTAACCTTTAACCCTTCTGCATCTAAGTTCCGTAACTATGTTATAAGTAACCATTTTTCAAGAAGTTACGA